AAAATTGTAAAAAAATATTTTGAAAATGCCAATAAAAATCCTTTATAAAAAAAATAAATATTTTGAACAACATTAATTGATTTTTTTTCACTGGTGAAAACGAACGCACCGTTAGACTATAATCGAAAAAAAATCGCCAACAAACAGCAATCAGCAGCACTTTATATGATAACAATTGTTATAAAATGTTAAAAATAGAAAATTTTAACAAAATAATATTTAGATTATAACTTTACACCGTTAAAACAAATATAAAAACAATTTTCTAAAAACCATACTTAAACAAAATACAACTAATTGATTAGGCATAAATTTAAAAAATAAAAACAGAATGTATTTATTTTTTTTTTTGTATAATTTGTATGCTTTAAGTTTTTAAGTCGCTTATAAATGTATTATTCGTAAAAAATAATGTCTACGCTAAATTCTCTTACAAATAAATATATGCTTATTATGTAATACACTAAATATTTTATTTACATAAAGTGCGTTTTGTAAGCTTATGCAAACTACTCTCTTCTAAGACATTTACAAACGGAAGTATAAAAAAATATAATTTATATATATACTACACATACATATGTATGTATGTATATGCGCTGCCATCTTTGATTTATAATTAATTTTAACAAAAAATACTAATTACTAGATGCTGAATTATGTATGACTGCTGCGTAGTATGCGCTGTTTTTGTTCTTATTGTTGTTGTTTACTTGTTGTCCACGAGACTTAACAAATTAAACACTTAACTCATATATTGCAGACTTTTCATTTGCCACAAACATTGCCTAATTCTTAGTAGGAGATCATTGAGCAGCGCTGGCGCTTGTCACGGCGAGTAACTTCAGCGAGTTAAACGTTCAATGGTTTATCCAAATGCGCGCGTTTCAGCGGCTTACGTGGATGCTTACGACGTTGCTGCATTTGCTTACGGGAAATTGTAAGCGCGCTCTGCTGTTGTGAGCTGCGCACCGTTTCCACTAAAGTCGCCAATTCGGTGGTGTCATCGCCATCAACTGAAGAAAAGTGAAAAGAAAATAATTATAATTTTGATAAAACAGGTCAGGTCATATAGCGACAGAGATATTCATAAATGCTACAACGTAGCTAGACATGTTGAAACCTACTATTTTCATCATCTTCATCGCCATCATCGGAGGCCTCCTCATCATCATCGTCATCTTCATCGCTGGCGTCGTCGAACAGATTTGGCGAATATGGCATTTTGTAAGCGGTCATGAGTAGGCTCTCAACCTTTATCTTCTCCGCGGGACGCATACGTTTAATGTTAACTGTTTTCGTGTAAGGTCCGTCGCAAGCCGGCACCCACTCGTCGGAAATGCTACAATTGGATGTCGAAATATGTTAATATCAAATTTTATTTCAAACTATTTACGTTGTGGCTACTCACATTTCACGCGGTGACCAACGAATAAAGCTCTCGTAACTGCCTTGCTGTGTTTTGCGGCGCATCATGCACTGACCCTGAAATGTTATTGTGTTGGAGCTCGTTGAAAGCACGCTTATTTGTCGCAGACGATGTTGAAGACCCTCCATTATGCCGGAGTCAAAGAAGTCGAACATGCGCGCTGCAAAAGAGGAATGACATCATTAATAAACCGTTAAGGAATGAAGAACCGTTATTCAGTGGTGCATCGTTATAGTGTATATAGTATCAAAATCGATTCCGGTAATTACCTGAAAATGGTTGACGTCGATAGCGCAGCTTTTTGCCATTCTTACGCAGCTGCTTGGGCACTGGCGGATCCGAAGTACGCTTATTGGAGCTCTCCTTATTTTCGGTGGCCGTAAAATGATTGTTTACGTGTTTTTGAAGAGCCAGCTGAAAATGAAAGAAATAATCATTTTTTAGTAAAATAATGCATAGAAAGAAGCTTAGGTGGCAAGATGCAGGTTGTTGGACATGGAAGTCACCTAATGATAGGCCTAAGAAACATGCTTTTTTACGAGGTCGGGACATGGGAGAAGAGTGTTATATGAGTCGTTCCCACGACAGATGGGGTTTTCGTAACCGGAACGAACCAGTATTTTTAGCCGTCCAAGGTCTGTCGGCCGACCGATTGCCAACAACGTTTCTTTGTCTTTTTACCATGAGCTTCCAGGTTAGCGACTTAGGGATTTTGTTGCGATTTGAGAACTTTGCTGCGCTTTTGTACGCGGTCATATGGGGAGCGAAGGAGCATAGACTGTCGAATGTTACACCTAAAATTGATCCTTACCTGTGAACCGAAACGCAAGCCGCAACCTTCGACAATACACTTGAATTGCTTCGAGCCGCCATGTGATAGCACGTGTCGTTCCAACCAGCGACGCGAGCACGATTCCTTATTGTACACCTTGCAACCGACCCAGAGGCAAGAAAACGGTCCTGTTTGCGTATTTACGTGCAGCGTCTGCATATGATCCAACAATTTGGAGCAGCTATCATGCTTCTTATTGCATTTATTCCAGTAGCAGACGCCGTCGTGGCGTTTAGCACCTTTAGGACCATACCGAAAACCACCAGTCTCTGCTGGGAAGCGTATAGTTTTCGGCTGCGAGAGTATGGGCGAGATGGCGCACTTGGGCAGTGCTTCACTTGCGCACTCCGCGAGCTTGGTGTCGATGAGCGTCAGTGTTGAGTTGAAGCAATTGCTGCTGCTGCTCGATTGTGGCTCGCCGCTAACACTGCTGTTGCTGCTGCTGCTTGTGCAGCTATTCGAATTGCTGTTATCGCTGATATTCGGCAAACTCGGTGCTGAGGGTACGGCACTATTGGAGGTAGAATTGGTGTTTAAATCAACACTGTTAGCTGGTGATGATGATGAGATTGGCGTTGCTGCATTGCTGCTATTGGAATTTAGGTCAGCAATGGTGTGGCTAATGTGGCTGCCGCTTTCTGCGCTGCCAGCACTAATCGTAGAGAGTGGCGTGGGTGGCGGTGAATTGGAGTCGATTGAATTGATAATGTTGGCGATAATTTCAGCTTTACTGCTGTTGTTGGAACTAAAATTAAAATGTTTTACAAATATTATTCAATGACTGACCTAAATTGTTTGAAGACAACTTACATTGTGCTCACGATGGATTCGCTGCTTTCACTAGCCGTCAAACTGCCACCTATGCCGGACTCGGGTGTGGGCAAGTCACGCTTTTCGCTGCTCTCCTCGTCCGCGCTGGCATCTTTCTCGACGTCCTCGAGGCCGGACGTTAGTGACTTCGCGTGTGTGGTCGAGCCATCAGCCGAATTCGACATTTCCGAAGCGAGATTAGATGATATGCATGACGATGTAACCATCTCGCTGAGCATATCCCTGCCGGTAGCGGCCGTGACACACGAAGCGGAGGATTCCGAGCTTAGGGAAGCTGAATTGGATTCGCATGGCTGTGTTGGCGGCAATGGCGGCGGGGAATTACGCGGTGATGCGCCCACCGATGATGACGGTACCGGCGAGGGTGCGGATGAGCATGAGGCGGACAGGGAAGAGAGCGACGGTGGGGTAGATGCTTCTAGTGAAAGATCAGCAGCCGAGGAGACCGAATTCGAGTGTGAGCTGAAGGAATACGATGAGTAATCATTCGCATGCGTGATACTATTGCCAATGCCGGTCGAAATACTATTGACGGTTGACGGATACATTTTGGTAGTGTCCTCCATTAGTTCGACCTTAATATCTGCCGATAGCATTTGGCTATGTGTGGACGCATTGAAACTCTCCAATTTGATACCACTATCCGAAGTGTTGGCTGAGGGAGCATTGGCCACTTCGTCCAGCGGCTCCTCTTTGATCTTGGAGCAAAAACCATCGCTGGAGACGGTATGCGTGGAGGAGCAGAGCGAGGGCGATGATGCAGATGAATATGATGACAGCGATGAGTTGTAGAATGATGGCAGTAGCGCTGCGCACTTATTGAATGTATTGTTGTGACATTTGTTGTTATTGGTGTTACTAATGGTAGTTGGTGCTGATATAGTGATGGCGCCATTCGAATTCTTTACTAAATCGAAGAGATCTGGAGTAGATGTTGTGGTTGTTGTCGCTGTGACGGCAGCGCTCGCAACGATCGCCTTCGCTGCAGTTGCCGTTATCGCGGTGGATGACACAGCTGTTGTTGTTATTGATGCGGCGACCGGCGTTAGTTTGGGCGCAAGTGGCGGCAAAGCAGTTATTTTCATGGCACTCGGCACAGCCGCTGCACTAGGTGCGGCAGTGGTGGTTGTTGTGATTGTCGCAGGTGCGGGTGCAATGCTGATGAGCGCGGGCGTAGGCAGTCCACTGGTCGGTAGCAGTTGCTTCGCCACTGGAGCGGCACGGCTGTTGGGTGCGGAGGCCACGCTGCTAATACCACTACTGTTATTGCTGCTGAGCGCGGGCACTAGTGGCGGCGGCGTGGTGGGTGTGGCAATGATTTTGCAGCCAGTGGAGATTTTCGCTTTGGCGCTCGTCAGCGCGGGTTTGCTCGGTGCTGGCGCTACGGGCACGGGCGCTGGCGCTACCTTCGGCATGCGCTTTTGATATGGCTTCGCCAGTGCGGCCGGTTTACTCGACGTAGCATTAGCATTGGAGGTCGCGCTGATGGCAGTGGCCGGTGCTATTGCAGTCGCGCGTGCTTTGCCGTGTGAAATGGTGACTAATGGTGGCGGTTGCGAATTGAGCGCGGCAAACTGTTGCGGTTGCGTGGAGGCAGTGGTCGCTTTTACGATGGCCAGTTTGGCAGTGTTGGCGTTATTTGCAGGAGTCGCGTTTGAAGACGCATTTATTGGCAGTGGCGTTAGAGTGGCAGCGGCAGTTGCAGTTTGCGGCGAAGTCGAATTGACAGCAGATAACGGAGGTGGCTGGCTTGTTGTTATGAATTGTGGTTGCTGCTGCTGTTGTTGTTGCAGAAACGCAAGCAATTGTTGCTGCTGCTGCTGGAAGTCAGTATGCTGGTCGTGGGAGGTGTGAGGCTGCTGCTGCTGTTGTTGTTGCAGAAACGCAAGCAATTGTTGCTGCTGCTGCTGGAAGTCAGTATGCTGGTCGTGGGAGGTGTGAGGCTGCTGCTGCTGTTGTTGTTGCTGCTGCGCTGCACCAGCGAAAATGGAACTTAGCGCAGGCAAGGCGCTTGGTTGTATTGGCTGCAGAGCCGGCAGCTGCTGTGGATGGGGCTGCTGCATTTGCATTTGTTTTTGCTGTTGCTGCTGATTGTTATTGACAGCCAAAGCGGCGGCTGCTTGTGCCAGCATAGCCGGCAGTGAAGCGGCGTTCAATAGTAGGCCTGCTGGAGTGGCCATGAATACCGGCTGTGCAGCGGCGGCGCCCAAGCGTTGCAACTGTTGAAACTGCTGCTGTTGTTGTTGCTGCTGATTTGCCGCAATAGCAGCGGCAATTTGCTGCTGGAAGATCTCTTGGAAACTAGTATTGGTAGCTTGGGCAGTGGCTGACGCTGCTGCTGCTGCAGCTACTGCAGCCGCTTTCTGTTGTTGTTGCAATTGCAGTTGTTGCTGTTGTTGAAGCTGTTGCTGTTGCTTAATGAGTATTTCTTGCAGGTCTGCGGCAGTCATCAGGTTGAATGGATTTGCAGTTGCGGCGGCACTGGCGGCAGCTACGGCGGACGTTGCCGTCGTGGTAGTCGCGGTTGTGAATTGCTGCAGTTTGAAGACGGTGCCATTGAGGAAATATTGCGCGGCTGCAGCTTGAGCTGCCTGCGCAGATGTAGCTGCGGCTGCGGCGGACGCTGAAGGGTTGGCGTTTTTAGTGGCCGTGGCAACGTTGTTCAACTGCATGATATTGGCACCATTGGTGGCGGCCAACAACTGCGGCAGTTGCACTAAATTCGGTAGTTGAACTGCGGGCAGTTGATAAAGCGTTTGTCCGGTGGCGGGTGCGGCGGTTGTGGTGGTCGCAGTGGCTGTTGCGACCGGTGTTAATTTCGGTGGTGTTACAGTTTGTTTCAGTTGCGTGGACGCCGTCGGTGTTGGTGCCGTTGTAGTTTGTGTAGGTAAACGTATCGCAGTAAGAAGGACTGCTGGCGGGTTGGCACTCACTTGCGTTGCAGTTTGGGACTGTTGTGTGCTTGTCGCTGCGCTTGTTTGCTTGGCTGCAGCGGCTTCGGCTTTCGCTGCCGCCTGCTGTTGCTGCTGCTGCATTTGTTGTTGCTTCATTTCGGGCGTCCTCGGCGCTATAGCGACATGTTTCTTAGCTGGAGATTTGCCAGTTGCACCAGTGTAGTTGCCCGAAGCGGAAGGGGTTTTCCGTAAATTCGGTGCGACCTGCGCTATTTTGGTCGGTTTGCTGCGTTCGATTTTCTTCAAAGCAGGCACAGGCATAGAGGACATGGCAGTAGCGGAAGTCAGTGCAACGACGCCACCTGATCCGGACGCTGGTGTAACATATGTGGAAGCGGCTGGAGCGATGGAGGTCGGCGTAGGTGGTGCTGCAGCTATTATATTACTATTTATGGATGATGATGATGATGATGCAACTAGCGTTGGCTTTGAAACAGTAATGTTACTGTTGTTGCTACTTCCGCTGCCGTTATTATGGCTATTTTCCTTTAACTGTTCTAAAATGTTGAAATATTTATTTAGTGATGCTGTGGTGGCCGGCGCACTCATCGTAAGCGAAGTTGTGTTGAGACCCGAGCTTGATGAACTGCATGTGGCAATCAGTACAGATTCCATATTGCGCTTTGTTAAGTTACTTTGATGAATTTGCGACTTCATTTGAGACTTGAAGTAACCAGTGATTTTTGTTTGCGACTCCTCCAATGCCGCCGCTTTCAGTCTTTTTGCAGCGCTGGCTGCAGATACGTTGCCAGTTGACGCTGCTGTTGCACCATTTGTTGTACTATCTGCACTTGTGTTTCGTGCCTTTTTACCTGAGCTATTGTCTGCAGTGTTCGCACTAACGGCACCGCGTTTCTTGCTGTTTTGTATGGATGTAGATGTGCTTGTGGTGTGTGCAGTACTACTACTTGCCGGTACGTTCCACGGCCATTGAAGAGTAGGGAGTCCATGGCGGACAGTGGCAGTGTTATTGTTCTTTTGTTGTTGTTGCTGAATTTGTTTTAATTTGGCAGTGTTGTTGCTGTTATTGCTATTTGTTCCTGTGACAGTTTGTGTGTAACCGCTAGCGCCGCTGGTCGATCCATTCGCACTATTACTGGTAGCCTGTCCGCTGTTGGTACTATTATTCGCCACAGCAAGTATTGTAGTCTGTGGCGGCATGATTGTATGATTTTCAACGCTGCTTTTATTGGCCTTGGCGGGCGAGTTGCTTTGCTGTTCGTCACCTATTATTGAGTTTTGACTAAATGGCGACCCCGGCTCCGAAGCATCTTCGCTGCAACCAGTACTAGAGTCCGTGCTGCTAAGTGATATCACGACACCACTGTAACGAAAACAAACAATAAAATAATATAAAACAATATATCATAAAAATGTATGGTACTAATATATTGGTTGGCTACGCCCGTTCACTGCACTGCACTTATACACACCTATCACTCATGGTGGTCACAAACCCATGCAACTATCAAGACATGCTTCCTATTGCATTTGTTTCTATTTGATTTTTAATTAGTTTTCATTAACAATTTCTTTTTGTTTTGTTAAACGAATGCGCTTTTATACAAATTTAGTTTTTTACTTTTTTATTGCTTTTCCCCAAGCCATTTACCCGCGAGTGTTTACAAACAGCTGATTGAGAGTTTGCGCGCAACAACTGCAGATGGCGCACACACATAAACTACCCACAGATGCCGCGCAAGATTTTTTTTATCGGAAATCGATAATGCTACAGATACAAAAGTATTTCTATATGAATTTAATGTTTATGCTGAAAACATGTACTAATTATTAAGAACATGGAGGCTGTTTTACCTATTAGACATTTAGGTAATGGAAGTTAAAAGTCTTTTTTATCTGAAGCAGCTTGTAAAGCCAAAACCTCAAGACCTTTCCAGTGGTTTATACACATCATTTTCATAACAGTAGTACGAAATTGATGAATGAACCCATGGAATTCATATATGTACATATGTCTGAAGCCGCATCGAAATTGTACAATGCATTTTATCTCCGAGGTGTTAAAGACCAAATGGAGCAAATTTAATAATTTTTATGAGCTTGTTTAAAATCTTTTAGGATATATAGTTAAAGAAATTGCTTCATACTCTCGCCAACAAGAGTTGGGAAGGCAAAATCGGCTACACACACACGTACATACATAAATGTGCACATTTTTAACACTTGTGGAAAGAGAGATTCCTAAACTTGGCGTAAATTGAGCGCAAACAATGCAGTGCAGGCGAGTGAGAGCAAATGTAGCCGTGCGATAATAGGGACGTTAACAGTGACGTCGACAGCGTGGTAAGCAGCGCAATGTTAAAGTAAGAACTTCTGTTTATGCTCATGTGAATTGAGCTTGTGAAAGGATGAAAATAAAACGGGAATTCGATGTGAATGAAAGAGGAGAAAATAAATATGATATATGTACATATATGCATATGTATGTAAATACGTCATGTGTGGGCATATCTCTGTATGTAAATAAACGTATGCAATAGCTGGCATATTAACATAGGAAAGTCCTTTTGAGAATGATAAACAGGCAGGCGCTTTAAATTGATGTTATATCATCCTCCTTATTGTGTTTCGTAGTAATTGTAACAGTAGTTGAAGCGGTTTTTATGTTAGCGATGCACGAACAGCACAAACTGCAACAACAATGGCGATAAGAAAAATAAGAAAGAATGTTAAGTGTAGCCGCTTATTGCTTACGGTCGATAAACGCCGACCTGAGAGTTGTCGACGACGACAAACCGTCGAGCGGACACACGACAATGTGGAACGAAGCAAGCAAGCGTCTAGCGAATGGCAACATTCGACATCGATAAATGTTGGGGATGGTGACGGTGGACGCTTGAGCCCATGTGCATGGCATTTGCTTAATACATATGTTTGCATGAGTGTATGTGCGCAGAACTGAGTTGGAAAGGGAAACGAAAAATAGTACGATAAAAATAAAACTAGATGTATGTATGTAAGTATGTATATGTAGGCTTGTACACTCGTACATCAAGAAAGTATGGTGTGAAAAAATGAGTAAAAAAATTATGGGCACAAACACACAGACGAAGTTACTGGGAGTGAAGAAGCAGCGCTTCTGTGCATGCAGCGAATTGTAGCAACAAACAAAACACAACAGCTTTAATCATGCCAACTGAAGAAGTGGAATTAGAATCCCGTGCTTGTAGTCAGTGTTGTTGTTGTATTATACAGCAAACCATCACTAGCATATACAAATGTAAGCATAAAAAAAAGCCGCAAGTAGCAACTTCTAATGCGGGGCAAAATGTTTAGCCGACAAAGGCCACGGCGTTTGAGTTGCGGTCGTTTGGCTGACAGGTATTTAAATTCAAGCTTCACAAATTAAATTGAAGCGCATAGTGCATAGCCCAGGTCGCGTTGATTGGAACGCCGTTGGCCAGCGGAATTCCATAGTATGACACATACATTCGCATATATAAAACATATGCTCAGTTGTATAATATAATGCTTAACAGCAATTGCTCTTGGCTATGCACAACAACAACAACAAATTTCTAAAACACTGTTAATGTTGTCTAAACTGTTGTTGTACGATAGACACACACACCTACGTTATTATTGTTGTTTTTATTGTATTTTGAAACGTTTATCCCCTCGCTGCGTTCTTCTAGCTCGAATATGTCAATATGCATATACACATCCACTGATAGGCGCATTCACACAAACATACATACATATGTACATACAAATTTACCTATCTAACTGCATACATATCTATTAATACGTTGACTTGTGTGTCTGTTGTCTTCCCAATTTTTTCCTGCCGGCTTCAGCATTTTTGTGCTTTTTTTTTCTTTTTAATTTCATCTATGATTTTCTAGAGCGTTAGGTCGATTCTATAGATTTACACACACACACATACACGCATACACTTGTTTGTTTGTGTGCATCCTTTTGGTTAAATGCACATTTTCATCTCTGCTGATTTCCATTGTTCTTCCTATAATCTCTGTCAAGCCTCGAAGAGGAGGGTGCATACTTCGATGTGTGCGAGAGCGTACACAGTGGAGGTGTTGTAATGAATAGTAGGGTACTGTGTCCTAGAATTGCGAGGGTGCCCTAACACTTCCTCTATTGTTTTTCATTCATTCTTTTGTTATAGCCACATTACAAGAATCTTTAATCAGTATGCCATTTAAAGTAATGTTTTCTCTCTTTCTTAAACAATTTCGGGTTTTCATAAACCTTACATTAGGTATTTAAAAAGCGAAAATGGCACCTCTTGGGAGTTTCCCATTTCTTCCTGTTACTGATGCCATGATTGAAGAAGTGTAAAAAAAAACAGTGCTTGAAAATCTTCATGTTGGCGTCTGAGTGTTAGAGGATCTAAATATAGGTCTCGTATTAGAGACCACAAGACGCCATCACATTCTAGAATAATTAAAAAATCAGTCGTAACAGGCAACGAGAGTCAAGAAGCTAGCAAAAGTCAAAAAATTAAATTTGTAATAAAAAATAAAAAAATCCAGAAAGTTAAAACAAATTCTAAACTTCGTGTGCGGAATCATTGCGAATGTTGAAAAAGGCTTACGGTGACTTAGTTTTCTCAAAAACCAAACCTACGCGTGCTACAAAGCCTTCAAACGCGGTAAAGGGATCGTTGAACACATGACTCGTCCTCGACCGTGACTCCACCTTCGACACCTGCAACTGATGGAAATATTACAAAAAAAGTGAGAGATATGGTTCTCGAATAACGTTAAGCAATGGTTAGAAAGATGGTAAAAGAGGGAGGCATCTCTCGCGAGTTCGTTCGAATGATTTTGGTGGATATTTTGGATATGAAACGCGTTCTCGCTCGACTTGTTCCGATAAAGGGTTTATGACTTTGGCATGCAAACAAGCCCACAATCATTGGAATGGAACCTTTTTGAAGTCGTTCGAAGAGAAAAAACATCCCAAAAAGTGCTTATAAAAAATTGATCGAGGACTAGAAAAATCGTTGGCATAAGCCGAGCCGGTCTCAGAGTAGAATTTTCGGGCGGGGAACAATATATGTAGTTTTGTACTTGCAACTTAAAGTCCTTTTCTTAGCGGAGTTCTCCGTATACGAAATTACTTTTAAGACAACAAAAATATTTATTTATGAATAATTAAATATTTTGCGTTTTATTTACAATCTTCGGATACTTTTTTTGCCACAATTTACATAAAACTATTAATTTGTTTCATAAATATATGCTTTTATGCGTATGAATAATATGTATAACTGTATTTTAGGACTATTTTGTGTGTATTTTACCTGTTCGACTTTTATCGCGCTGCTTTAGCTCCTTTTTGTAGTAGATTAAATCTCAAAGGATTTTCAAATTTCCGTTATTTTTTTTTTTTTTTTGCATTTATTTTCCTTACAACTTAACACTTTTAAATTCGTTTTTGTATCTTTTCCCTTTCGTTTGCTTTTTGTGCGTTTATTTTCCTCTTTTTAATTGGCAGTCAGTGAGTCTTTTTCCCTTTATTAATAACTTTTGCGCCGAAAAACACTAAAATTTTACAGAAAATTAATGAAAATTTTGTGCGTGTATTTTGCACGAAAAAAACACGCTTAAATGTTTTCCCGATATTTAAAATATTTAAAAAAATTTAAAGCACTTTAAACGCGTTGAAATACATTTTATTAAACACAATTAAATATTGCTGGTTGTTGTCGCGTGCACTGCGTGGGAAGCGTTTGTTTTTTGTTTTTTTCGTTTAACGTATGAACCACTTTATTGTTGCTGTTGTGGTTATTAGCTATGCAGCCGAAGTTGTTAATACAGTTACGCTTTGAATTTTTTAATAACTGTGCTACATTATACTTGAATTTTATGGCGGCGTTCGGCTTCAGCATAAAATTGCGTTAATATGCATTTTCTCACATTGTCACGCCATTTGCGCACCACAAACACTTCATACATATGCATATGTACATACCAACACTAACATTTCTAACGTTTGAATTATTTATTTGTAATTGTTGCATTATCTTTTTTCTACGCATAAATATATAAACATTGCATTAATTTGAAATGTTTTGTAATTTATTGCTTTGCTGCGCTTTATTACTTATTATTAGCATTTAAATTTGCTGCTGCCTTTACGGTTGTTGTTGGTAGCAGCGTGTTGCACACATGGAATCAAGATGCATAAATTATGCAACCGGCGCATGCACTTACAAGCCGGCAAACACACACACACACACACACACACACATGCATACATACAAACGCGTTTATGTGGCGAAGTACGAAAGCTATTTGTAGTCGCTGCAGTAAAACACAAACAACAAAGCCCGACGAT